CCGACCTTCGATCTGGTGGACATGTCTCGGACATGACATGTTTCACACTCCCCGAAATCTAAACAAATGAAATAAACTAATGGGAGGAGGATCGGTTCTCTTGCAACCACTTCAAGGCTTGTTTGCGATGGGCATTGTATCGGAGTACTGCTGCCTCGTCGAAGATCCTAAAGGCTCCTGAACGAAGAGTGGTTCGTAACAGACTGCTGTCCATTACTTTGGTCAGAGGATCAGCGATCATCAGGGTGGTAGGAATCCACCTGAAATGAACATGTTCGGCGCAGCGCTCACGAATCAACAAACCTTCCAAGGTCGTGCGAAATTCTTCACAGGACGGAATTGCATTTCGTGTGACCAAGTCAAAAAGGGATCGGCAATCCGTGGTGATAATGGCTTGGTTCATCTGCTTGAATCCTTGGGAAGGATTTCTCCAGTTGAACTCGTTAATTACGAGACAACCCCAAAGTAGCCGTGCCCAACTTAGTCGGTCAACGCTTTGACTCATGGAAAACGCCTCAGCGGACAATGTTGAACGCACAACACGTGAAATCTTCTTAGAAGACCAGGTGAGTGGTGACAATGGTGCTTGACGATTTTGATCCAGTTCAGTTGACGTGGCACAGATGATATGACCCTGGAAAGAATTCATGTTCTTAGGACTGGCAAATGATGCGTCTCCAAAAGAGATGTGTGTGACTGTGTGATGTCTTTTACTGGAATAGCTCGATACCAAATCTTAGTATCACTATGTTCTTGGGCTTCCCTCAAAACCTTATTGGCTTGTAGGAGTGTTGCTACAGTTGGTTGGGCTATCTGGCATTGAACTTCTCCTAGTCGAGATGCAATATCGGGTCTTGTGTGTGTTACGGCATATTGAAGGCTTCCTATTAATCCTCGCAACTTTGAAAGTTCTGTTTCAGTCAGGGTTGACTGGAGCTGTTCACGACGTTGTTTTCCAACGTCGATGGCAAGAATGCTGTGCACATAGCTTTCTTGCGTGGCCGATATGGAGCCGTCTGGCTGCTGTTCCAAGTCGATGCCGGTGAACTT